TACCTCTGTTGTGGAGTTGTTTCGCTGGTCTATATCTGACACTGATGCAGGAGGCGACGCTTCTGGAAGAGTAGTCTCCGGATGAAGAGCAGTGCAGTGCTTATCACTCTGACATTCATTGCACTGTAGGTTCATGTGACATTCCCTCGCAACATGAGTAACTGAGCAGCACCTAAAGCACCGTCTGTGGTCCTTTAATAACTTCTTCCGTTCCATGAGTGATTTCGCTTTAAAGACCCTACATTTTTCCAGAGGGTGGGGTTTGTTGTGAAGTGGACAGTACTTAGCAGGATCATTTGTGCCTCTCCCATCTGTTTCTTCTCTATGTCTGGAGCTTGGATTAGCTACTGTAGACACATTTGTCTTTCGAACGGCTATGGCAGTTCTCCCACCATCATGATTTGCCATGGGTTTTTCATTTCGATTATAATAACGGCTGCTGTTTGTCAAAACAAAACTGGGATCGTTTCTAGCCTTGGCTTCACTGTTGACAAAATCCACAAAAAAGGCAAATGGTGGAAAGCATACTCTATGCTGTTCTTTATACCTTGAACCACTGGAGAGCCATTTCTCTTGCAGGTTCACTGGCAGCTTTTCGACAATGGGGTTAATGCCTCTTGGAGTATCCAAGTAACTAAGACCTGGTAGATAACCATCTTCCTTGGCTGCCAAAAGCTCCATCAGTAGGTCACTCAAATTCCCTTAGTTTTAAGTTTTCTCTCAACGTGAGGCGAGGGAAGCAGTCCAGTCACTTAAAGAGAGCACACTCTATCACTTCTGGGGTTGCATAACATTCTTGAAGTCTCAACCATGACAAATTAAGCGCAGCTTCAGGGTTAGTGATATGAGCAGCACGGATCCTTTTTACATGTTCTGATGATTCCTTGCCGAGCCATTTTACTAGTAGATCTAACTCTTCACTGGCTGTCAGCTCCAAATCCTGAATGGTGCTGAGGAAGGATGACTGCCAAGCTCTGTAGCCTTCTGGCTGATCATCAAATTTAGTGAGACCTGTGGTTACTAATTCCCTGCGTGCCAGATACTTTGCAAAGTCTAACATGCCTGTAGATGGAGTCTGAGAGTTTTGCTGTATGCTGTTCCTTTGAGAAGTATCTGAATGCCTGATGTGTGGACTGTGTTCTACAAATGCCTTACAAAAATAGCGAGGGCTCAATGGAGTGGGTTGAGGCGAGAGTGGCTGCTGTCCTGTAGTTGGCTGATGCTCACTTAGCTGTGAGTAACCAGGGTTTGTAGATAAAGTGTTATATTCTACGTTGGATTCTGGGAGTTCTTGTTTTGTTGACAACGATGCTTTCTTAACATAGATGGGACTCAGTGTGGCTTGAGAATCTATGGCAGGTTTAAAACTGATTCGAGCTTGATCTTCGAGGTATGCCTCGGTTTGCTGTTTTATGGACAAAGGTGAGATGCCACTCCTGTTGCTGTGTATATCATCACAGTCTATGGCTGCTGCTGCTTCTAAAACCTCAGCCTCAGCAACAGCAACGGCAGCTGCTTTTTCAAGTTCCATTGCTTCTAGATCTGCCTCAAGAGTAGCCTTTTCTAAATCCAACTTGGCCTTTTGTTTTTTTATTTCAAGCTCCCTCTGTGCAAATGTGGCCCTGGTGCGTGCAGCTTCAGCGATAGCTCTGGCTTTTGCAGCGGCGCTGGCTACTGAATGCTTTGAAGAAGAGGTGCGCTTGGAGCTGGAGACCGATGACACTTTGTCGTCCATTTTGGTATCCATAACTATGCTGGAGAATCCCTCTGACGAAT